CTTTGGTCTTAGTGGTGGATCCTCCAGTAGACCAGTGAGAAGTGTGTGTAACCCACTGGAAGTTCATTTTACCATCCCCGCTCTTACAAGGCACAGTTTACTCCCAAGGACAGTGTTGAGGGGGAGGGGGACAGGTGGGGGGCTAGGAGGGTTTTAGAGGATTTCAAACAACCCATCCGTCCCTATTCCCAAGGGCCACTTACAACTCCAGGGGTGGTTATAGGATTAACTACCAGTTCATTTTCAAAATGCTGCTTTGAACTCAGAGGGTTGATACTTTTAATTTGTAATTTTTTTGTAAAACTTTTTACAAGATAGTAAAGTATTTCACCAGAATACCAGTTTCAATCCGTCCATGGTCTGATTTTTATATAATTTAGTGGTGCTTTAGAAACTTTGTTTTTGTTGTTTCTGAGCTAAATAGCTCAATCCTTTCTCGCCTGTATCTACCTAAGACCAATGTGAACCTTTGTATTTTTGCTCCTAATTTTGGACTCAGTGAAAGTGTACTGTTTACATGTACAGATGCCCCCAGTCCCTGTGTGTTCTGCAAGACTCGCCCTTGAGGAGGAAGATGCACCTCACTAAGCTCATCTGCTTAGCAAAGCCACAAAACAAAAACCTCTCACTTTTTACCTGTGTTTCCACCTAAAAATAAAAACAAAAAGCCTACACCACATAGAACTCAGATTTGCTGAAAAACACTTTCCACCTGGTAGATGGTCCACGTGCTTCTATCGTGGTCCATTTAGGAACAGGAGTCAGAACAGAGACCTCCCGCCAGCCCCTGGTGCGCCACTGCGTGGACAGAGGAGAAGTGAAGGCAGGACCGCGCTGCAGAGCTGTGGGATGAAGACAGTTCTTCTCTGGGCAGCCTGGGAGTGAGAAGGTCAAGATGACTCACGTGGCCTTTAGGATCAAGCCAACCAGGACTTAGGGACAACCCAAGAGGTCATCAATCGTCTGGCATAATTTAGACATGTTTTGGAAGAGTGTGAGTTCCCTATGTGAGATGAGATTTTAAGACCTTCAGTGCAGATGGTACAAGTATTTTTTCAGGGTTCCTCTGGGGGCAGCTCATTCATGAGGCACCACCTCTGGGGAGGGACGGGGGGCTCCAGACAGCGAGTAGATGGCACTTAAGGCAAACAGTGGATGGCACCAACTTTTAAAGGTGACTCTTTATTAATCAATGGCCTCACCTCTAAATTGTATTTTTACAGATATGCACCTATGCAACTTAACGTGGCTCTTCTAAGCAGGTGAGGACTTCCTCCTCAATGCTCTCTATAAAAATTATTTGTGTTCTATATAGTGAGTTTTTCCAGTAAATGTGGCTTAATATTTTAATTCTTAGAATGTGTCTTCTCTACGTGATGCGACTAAATTCTGTTTTGTTTGTGGAATGACTAGCACAGGCCGACTCCCTCTCTCCCTCACTTAACAAGACCAATGAGCTGTTAATCGAGCTGTTATCTCCATGGTATTACTTGCTAAATGCACTGATTTCATAAGTATGTGGAATCCTTTTCCTTTTGAACCTGTATATCATATATAAGACTGAATCTACTTAATAAACACTGAACAGCAAACCGAACACTGCTTCCACTGTCTCCTGTCAACAGCAGCACCGCCAGCCAGTTCCCATCCTTCTGAATCTGGTTTGCTACTAAAGCCATCTTGCTACTGGTAGGTTCTACCTTTTCCTAGCCAATAATCTGCCACACACAAGGTCCTCAGTAAATTTTCCTGAATAAACCTGTAATTTTAGCACCTCGTGTGTTAGGGAAGGAAACAGCTTTCCTTGCTGCTAGTCAGGCGTTGAGCAGAGGCAGAGAGCTCTCCGTGCACCATACTAAGTCTCAGTGTCCTTACCCTACTTGCAGATGCAGATGCATAGTGGGTGTATGAAGCAAAAAACTTGAATTTTTTCTCCTACCTCTCACCCTAGCATGTGGCCAAGTGACCTAAACTGAATTCCTACAACAATTCCTAAATGCTACTTTAGAAAACCAAGCAAAGAAGATCCCTAGTTCTCAACCTTTGGTACCTGACATTCCATTCTATGCAGAACTCTGGACTCCACCCTGGGAGGAAATAAAAGGGCTACTTTTCCCAAAAGACCTTTTATGTGTGCATATTTTTTTTCATCCTATATATATTATTTAGGTTAAACTTTAAGGAAAAATTGCAGGAATATGTCTGGGAACAACTTGATTTTCATGGGTTTAAAAACAACTTTGTGTGAGTTAAAAGCATACACTTTACTGTTAAAATTGCAAATGTGTATATACACATACACCTACATGGCAGTTGTTATTAAAGCCTTGACTTTTTAATAATGGTATAAGAATCCTTTTTTTTTTTTTTAATAGAGATTCTATGCAGCAGCTAAATACGTAAAATAGACCAGAGGAGAGGGGCCAGTAGTTTGAAAGCCCTGCACTGAGGGTGTGACTTTGGGGCTGAGACGCATTTAAGGACAGCAGGCCCAGGCACAGCATGACCCTTCGACACCTCCCCTTTCCCAGGATGTGAGGATCAAGGGGCAGCCAATCCTCAGTAATACCATGAAAGTTCCTTGTCTTACCAAAACTACCACTGCTGAGACTATGAAAACTACTGAGACAACTGAAACCCCATAATCTGGGACATCTCCAGAACACAGACCCACTTCACACAGACCCCACTGGCCTGCTGACCAGCCCAAAAAACACTTACCTCCCTCCACAGGAAATGCCGGAGTTCCACAGGACACTGGAATCCGCAGGAGAAACTGCTTGAGGGCAGGACAGTGCAGGCTTTTCCCAGTCTGGCTTCTTTAAATGGGGCTCCAGGCCACTGGTGTTAACAGTGGACACAGGACTTCATCAGATGGAAATGTCCCCTTAGAACAGTGAACTAAAATTTACCCAAACAGGCAAAACAGGCAAACCTCCCTTGACTCAATGAGGGAAAGGGGAGAACATACATATGCTGCCTTTTTAAAAATAACTTAAAATGCACTAAGGAAGTTTTAGTAGTTACACAAAACCTGCTAAGAAGAATCTGTGCAATGTCCTATCTTCCTTTGGTTGATGTTTTCTATTATATAAACCCAGATTTCATTACGTTTGTTATCAGCCAGTGGTTCTTAAATGAGAGGCCCCAGCTGCCTAAGAAACTCATGAACCCTCTGAAATTGTATGCAAAACTTTGTATATGCATGGCGGGGGGTGGGGGTGCGGTGTCCACCGAAAGGTGAAAACCCACTGATGCCAGGTAAAGCAGCACTAACAACTGTGTTGTTCTCACAGGACATTCGTCTATGTCCCAAAGTAGAGATGTTTGTTCCAGGCTTTCAAATTGATGCAGAGACAAGAGGAAGCATGGGGTACTGTCCAGTTTTGGTTTCAAGCAGCAAACTCCAAGGCCACACATCTTACCCTTTCCGTGACTTCGAATAGTACCCACGCACACAGGTAAAGGCAGCCTGCCCCCTTCCTCTCAGCGCAGCAGGAAGCAGAAGCTTTGGTCTGTTGAGAGCTCTGATGGATGCAGGCTGCTCTATTTAACTCACACACATACCCACAAACCCCTCTCAAGCAGGGTCTTACTTCCTCAAGAGCAGGCTGGGTGTCAAACAAATTAATGATACCTCGCCAGGCCAGTATGGTAATATTCTTTCCCTATTCCCAAACATCATGTTTCCTTGTCCTTTGGACCATGAGCAACATAAGCCTCGCTTACCAAATACTCTAAGCTCTGGACTGCACCCAATGACTGCAGCGAGAACAGGAACCAGACATCAGCTTCACAGCCAACACCAGCGCCAGCACAGCACACACAGGACCACATCTTGACAGGTTCCCCCAGGCAAGGGTGAGGCAATGGCCTTGGCTATACAGCTGGCTACCTTAAGTTCATGTAGCAATTATCTTAGCCTGGTACAAGCTAATAGTCACTAACAATCTGATGAAGTAGGAACTATTATCCCCATTCACAGGCGGGAGAGTTGGCAGAGAGGTGACACAACACGCCCCAGCCCCCAGAGCTGGCAGGTAGCAAAGCCTATCCTCCAAGAACCCACTGCACCATTCTGCTTCCCTGTTGAGGGGCGATTGGCAATGCAAGGCCCCAAACCTGCATTCTAAGCTCCCGCAGCTGTAAATGGCCAAAGGGATTCTCTGACACGAAGGCATAAAGACACATCAACACCACAGGCAACTGCCCAGTCACCACAGGGCTCCTGAAACATATATTCTCAAACCACGCATCTGTCAAACAGCAGCACTGCAAAATGGCAGCTTCAAGTGCTCAAAAGGTGTCTCACCACATAGAAGTTTTTCTCCGATTCACATAAAAAAAATTAATGGATATATGTTTGACCTTTACTTCTATCATTTTACTTTTGGCTTATTTATATATCAATTATTTCTGACGAGCAGAGTCATGTATTTCAGTACTTGAGAGAAGTCTGAGGACTTTAACTGAGCAACCAATCCCTGCCAGCATGTCATCCACCCAGGCTCATTAAATGAGCATCAGACCCCACCTTGGGCAGCACCTCCCTCACTGCCCCTGAAGCCACAGGAAGAGGTGCTCATGGTTAGGGCTTTTCCAGGTCAGCACTGGGCACCCTCCCACAGAAGACCATCAACCATGAGGAATCCACGTGGCAACCTCAAGCTCAGTGAGGCCATTTGGATGAGCAGCTGCAGAGGGATGTCACAGTTTACGACTTTCACTCACAAGGGAACACTCCCACTGCTTTCAGTAGGTATCTTATTGCAGTCCACAAAGTGGAAAGGTTTGCCAAGTCATGAACAGAGGCTACGGACCAGTGAAGCTGCCAAGTCATTCCTTTTGGACTAACCTCCCAAAGAAGAGCTCCATGTAGAACAGCAGCTCCAGAGCAGAAATGAGGCGAGCTGGCGCTACTCCTTCCCATCCAGCTCTGCGCTCCAGCCTGACCTTCCCACGCCAGCGGGGCAGCCACAGAAGATGACTGAGACCACAACTGCAGGGTGTACAGGTTTATTGTTCCAATACCACAAGAGACATACAAAAGCAGTGCTTTCTCTGGGGCAGCCTCATGGACCAGACCAGTGTCAAACTGTACCCTTGAGTGGCCCCAAAGGTCTCAGCAGAGGGAAAAAGAGGACCAGACACTCGTGGGCCCCTGCTCCCGGGCTTTGGTAAACAGACTCTTAACAACTTAGACTTGGCCAATACTGCATAAGTCACCATATCATTGTCAACTTCTCACTCATTCCTCAAGTGACAAAAATGCCACATCAGATTAAATGGGGAAAAAAAGCTGTCAGATGAAATGAGATTTGCCAAAGTCATAAAAATTTTATACTTCATATAGGAGCACTCACACAGGGAGACTGAAATTAAATGAGGACTCTCAACTCTGTAGTAAGTTGAGATACAAGAAATAAGGCAGGAACAGGGTGAGGGATGACAAATACAGGGATATCTACTTGCTGGAAACTTACTGGGAGAGAGGCAGGCAGCAAGCATGGCTTTGTTTTTTTTTCTTAAACCTGCCTGCTGCCAAAAGTACGTGAAAAGGAGCCCCATGGCCCCAGGAGAGCATGGTTCCAGGTATTGCTGTGACAGGTGGTGACCCTGGAGCCAAATCCGTAAGGCCTGCCTGGGGGATGCCCAGGGAACTCATCCATGAATCCAGAAGCACTTAACACTGGTGGTGGTGACTTGTCACATATGGCAGCGAGCAGCCACTAAAGGCTGGAGAAGGAGAAGAGATGTGAGGAACAAGATGCATTTGCTCAGCAGTGTGTGGACTGGCTGACTGTGGCTCTGCGGGCTGTGGCAGATCCACCCGGTGACCTGTGATGGGCGCACCAGCCCGGCAGGTCACAAGTCAATCATTTCGCCCTCACACCAAGCAGCACAGCACTCAGTGGCTCTGACAATAGGCATGGAGAAGTAAATTACACCACTTTAATGCGATGATGCTGAAGACGTAAAATAAAGAGACGGTAATGTTCTCTGTACAATAACATCCATTTACAGAATTGGCCTGTACTGTGTACAACATATAAATACATAATAAAACATTAGAGGTGCATAGAGCATACTTACAGAAGCCAAAAAGTTCACTTTATACATCCAAGAATAAAGGGTTAAAAATATAAAAATAAGAAACACACACTGCTTTGAAATGTAAAATGACTTTCACATACACACAGGTACGTGGAGATGCCCACTCCCACGGAGTCCAAAGTGACGGGGAGAGTGTCAGAGGAATTCACCTGCAAATGTCTGGATAGTTGACTCACAAGGTCTACAGATGGCATTTTTGTAAGAAAGACAACCCTATTCCCCGACCCCATTGTCCAAGCAGGGCTATTCAAGGTTTCAAAAGATCCTGTGGGCTAGTGGATCATACGGAGACAGGAAAGTTCCAGATTTGCTTCAGCAACAGAACCAAAGGTCAAACTGGCTCCATCAACTGGCAAATGACCGAACTGTGACCCTGAGGTCAGCAGGTGCTCGAGCCCCCTGGTGGGCAATGCTGGGAGTTACTTTAACCCTGTGCTGGCTTCTTCCCCACCATCAACTCCCCAAAGTAGCAGAAGAAAAGATGGCAAGGAGAGGGCAGTGGAAGACTGACATTTCTACTCAGTTCCGGTAGGTTAGTTCCCTCGGTGAAGAACACAACCTTCCTGCTTCAGTTTCAAGTCCCTCTGGGTGTCAGGCAGGCTCCCTAAGCCACACCAGGCTCTGACTGCGAAGAAAGCTCAGGCTGGCTGGCCTTGGGCAGCCCAGTGGGTCGTCCCCCAGGAAACACCTCCAGCAAGACCAGAAGGGTCGACAAGTGACAGAGGGCTTTAGCACTATAAATTTCAGGGAAGGCAAGAGTGCTCTTGCCTAGAAATACAGAGTATATCAACGAGATTCTGTATACAGATTTAAGATCAATCATTATCAAAATACACACACTAAATATACAATTTTTCCCATGGCCATAATTTATTATCTCACCACAAGGCACAATACACAGAGCTTTGAGGGTCCAATACAGTCATCATGACAGAACGCACCACAGCCTTGGCACATGATCATGGCTTTCAGGCTGCACGCACACTGGAGCGAGATGCTTTCCACCGTGCTGCTGTCAGTGAACATTTGCAAGGAGAGTGATGCACTGTGGCTCGCACCGAAGTTTGCTTTGTGGCTCAGCTGCACCACGCTTCCAGCAAGGCCTTTTGTAAAGGAGGGAGAGCTGGAGGAATAATTAAAGCTGGTGGAACTTAGTTGGAGTTTAGAAAGCTTCCCATAAAATGCCTGCTTGATGTTGAGTTGGGAGGGGATAGAAGGCTGCTCCAGAGGCTCATTGAGCCCCTTCCCTGGCTCTCGGGGTAATTTCCAGAAGGGCAGGTCCATGACAAAGGGCATCCCTTGCAAGTGACCTACCAGTTCCAGGGGACTGTGCCCAGCAGCTTTCCTGTTCTCTGCATTTGCCTTGACAGGGCCCCCAACAAAAGTCTTGTCATTCTTAATGCTGCCAACAGAGGCAGGTGGTGGCTTCGGAGCCCAGTCTTCTCTTGCAGTCTGTACCCCACCAGGCACAGAGTTTTTGCTTGGTCCCAACTTCCCACTGGGAAAAGCCGGAGGGACCTCAGCAGGCAGTGGCGTTGGGTCTGCAGGCCTGGGACACTGAAGGGTTGCAGTCACACTCCCAGAGCCAAAGAGCTTCTTCCCTTGTCCTCCAACATTGTTCTGATCACCCAGGGCCCGGCCCGTCTGCTCTGGACCAAAGGAGATCACATTTGGAGATGAGAAACAAGGTGCTCTCGAGGTAGTGAGATCTCCTGGACTTTTGCCTGGAGCAGCATTTGAATTACTGCATTGGGACATGGCATGGATTTCCTTCTGATCTTCAAAACTAAAGGAAGAGAATTGCTCTTTGGAATCCAATTCTTCCACTTTCCCAGAGGAAGTCATGGGATGTGTCACTGGATGTACGGAGTCAAAACTTGGGGCTGTCTTGGAAATCTTCGGGGGCACTCCAGGAGCCTGGGTGGCCTCTATCCTGGCAAGACTAGTGCCTGTATCACAGCTCTTGGGCCCAAGAGGCTCCTTCAAAGCCCTTAAAGTGGGGCTGCTTCTGACAACCAGGTGACTGTTTTCCCCAGGATTATGCAAAGACCCCATGCTCAGGGAGCCACCATGGCTCTGCTCTTTTCTAAGTGGTAGCTGTGGGGATTCTGGCTTGATGCTACCATGGGCTGGAGGAAGAACCTTCTCTAGGGCCAACTTACCCTGCAGCAACTGTATCACAAGTGGGTTAGTGGGCTCTACCGAGGACCCAGGCCTGGCCAGGCATGTGGGTTTCGGCTGGTACTCAGTACTGGCCAGCAGCAGGGAGTCTGGGATTTTTTGGGGGACTGCACATACTCGAGACACCCAGCTCTGAGGTGCAATCATACCATCTGTCCTTGTAACCAGACTCAGGTCACCGTTCACCTTGGACAGTGAGACAGATCGGTTCCAGTCATGTTTCTCATCCTTGTCTACTGAGGATCCCTTCATCACTGTGGCTTCACTAGTGTCAGCCTCACTGCTGTCCTCAGTGAGGTGGCCTTCAAAGTCAGAGGCTGTGTCTGTGGACTCGCTGTCAGGACTCAGTGCTTCAGAGTCTCCACTGATTTTCAGCTTTTCAGTGTCCACCTGTTCGCAGGCACTGCCAGTGCTGTTAATGCCTGCTGGAGACAGCACTGTCCAGAGTGAAGGAAGGTTGCCAGGGGGATCGAGGCCCTCTTCTGCTGTCAAACTCCCAGGCAATGCAGGAATGAAGGGAGCAGCTTTCTCCCACTCTTCCCCAACCTGGGGCTCAACACATGGTACGTTTTCTCCGTATTCTGGTTCAGGCTGTTTCACTACCTCATCATCTGATGGGATGGGCAGCCAAGGAGTAGTACTGTCAGAAATGAGAGTCTTGGTTTTCAAATTTTCTTGTCTAGAATCACTTTCCCGCATGGGAGGGCATGAGTCACCAAGTCCTAATTCATCATTAAATGGTCTGTCTTGCAGGCAGTGAGCCAATGACAATTCAGGTGTGGAACTAGGAGTCACATCTACAGGAACTGTCATAGTGGGATTACCGTCAAGAGCCAGGCCAGTCCCTTCTTCTAATACATCTCCCACCAGAGATCGAACAGGACCATCCTCTGGGAGGACAGTGGGTCCTTGCTCCTCGTCATCCCTTCCCCAGGAAATGGTACCAGACTCATATTCAGTTCTAACATCTAGATGCAACTTAGGCTGCTCAACTAATCTCTCAGCTACTGGGGTTTGGGAGGACAGTGGGGGCAAAGCCTGGCATGGCTGGTCCCCAGTGGGAGCGATGGGAAGCTGGGAGGTATCTTCTAGCCCACTTGTGAATACACCTGGAACCCTCTGTAGTGGGCAGTTTTCCTCCTGTCTGAGAGAAGCCAGTTCCTCTCCTCTGGCTCCGGACACGGCAGTTCCAGCCTCGGCATGTTCCCCATTTAGAGGACAAGGCGGCAATAGTTGTGTTCGCTGTAGATCTGACGCACACTCTCCAGGGGTGCTCGTGGCTCCCCTGGGCTCAGGGTGGCCACAGGCCTCACTACCATCACCACTGCTGCTGCTGCCTCTGCCACCTCCCTCATCGGTGGTCCCGCCGCCACCTCCACCCGGGCCACCCCCCCCTCCGATGGCAGTAGTGGCCGCCTCTCGATGGCAGTGGTGACCTCTCGCCCCTCGGGCTTGCAGAGCACGGGCTTTAATGTCTGCGAGGGTCCTGGTGCCAGTCCAGCCCCGGCAGGAGGGCTCCGTGATGGGGACGATCCGGGGGCATATCTGGTAAGTGGGCTGACCTTTAACCACCCAGGGTGGTTTGATACGTGAAAGTTGAATCTGCAAGAAAAGAATTGGGAAACAGTTTTAATTGACTAGGTAATCTGACCTACGAACTGTAAAGCGAAACTAGTATTCTAGCAGCATGGGAGTCACAGCATACAGAATCAATCTCCCTAAAAGTGAAATAAGCATAGTAAAATGGCCGCCCATGACACCACACCATTCGGAGAAGATTCTGCTCAAGAACTGTTATATGCCACACTTCTAAATTTAATTTCTGGTGGGACTGTGTGAGTCACTACAGCAAAGAATCTAACACTACCTAGTAAGAAATTTAAAAACTCCAAAGGATTTTGACCTCTAGAGAAAACTTCAACATAGTGAACAAAAAAGTAAGAAAGGAAAGAACCTCATATCTCCCTAAACTTTACGTAAGTCCCAAGAAAGGCTCTCTCTCGTAGGAAGCTCCACATTCCCACATGATTAACTCAAAGGCCTGAGGGCAAAGGGACTCTACAATCTCATGACCCTCAAAGGAAACCTCTCCTACCCGGATGGGCGGGACTTTGGGCTCCTCTTTAGTGGGCTGTGGCTTCTCGGTGTGAACACTTTCAATTGTGTTACGAAAGGACTGACGATCTTCAAGCCGGGGCTTCTTTTCGGGAAAGGATGCAGAGGTCGCCTGCTCAAAGGATTTCCTCTTCTGATCCTTGGGCTCCTGATCTACAGTCTCTGGAAGCAAGTTAGGAATTCTGTCTGGAGATGCAGAGGCGTGTGCTGAGTTGTCTGGCTCAGTTGGGATCCGGGAAGCCACAGGTTCAACCGGGAACTTGGGACCCTCTGAGTTGGGTGCTGCAGAAGACATGCCTGGCAAGTGGGGACTGCTCCTCCCTGCTGAGTCAGTTTCAGCCTCCCCATCCTTGTAGAGGGGAATGTCTGGTGCTACGGAGTTTGCATCCTTAGCAACCCCTGCTTGTTCTGGCTCCTGTTTTTTGTACAGATTCCCTCTGGCTCTGGTTCGGAGATCTGGCCGAGAGCGTTTCTTATAATGCCCATCCCGCTGTCGGGTGGCCGGACCACGCTGTGGCCGCACTGATTCTCCTGGGACACGCAAACCACTCTTGATTTCAGCCTCCTCCTGGCCCACATTCTGCTGCAATGACTCTTCTTTGGTCAAACCCAATCTGCAAACCAGATTCACACCATCAATTGCAGGCCAAAGAGAGCATCTCTTTTATCTCTAAGAATAACACCCAGAAACACAGATATATCGGAACATATCTGCACACTGTGTAACACTAACCACAAGAAAAATGTGTTAGCTTCACTATGAATGGCATTAAACGACTCGAGTCATTGCAATCTCCACATTCTTGTCCAATAAATATGTATACACTATTTTGAAACCATCTGACCCCATCCCCTTAAAATCCCACACCAGGACTCATAGGTCTAAGAGCCTTACTTCTGTCCATAGTAGTCTTCAAAGAACTTTTCTTTCCACTGTTCCACCTTCTTTTCCTTCTCCATTTCCTGTCGTATCCTGACTTGCATCTCATGAGTGAATTCGCCTAGAGAGAAATACAACTATTCTAGTGAATGCAATTCAGGATATTATGGACAGCCAAATCTTCCCATTCCACCATACCACAGGTTTTAAAAGAACATGCTCCTGTCTCTTCCAGAGGCCCTCTCACATCATGCTCTTACTTACGACAGAGCTAACACGTCTACTGTAAGGGAAATTTACTCTTCTTTAAGGTACTCAGTCATTCAAGGGCAAGCAACACATTGATCACAAAAGTGAACAAACAAAAGAACCATTCTCATTTCCCGCGTAGAAGCAAGTTAGCACAGTAGGCCTATTTACCTTTGCTTAGGCCTACTTAAAAGGATGGCCCTTGGCCGACATCCAGGAACGTGGATTTCATGAGGGTTCCCACCACTACAATCGAAAGGAGTGGCTCACTGTGCCTAAACTGTTTAAGCGAACAATTTGGTTTATGCTGAACATCTGCTTTCCTTTTGGGAATGTGGGTATGTGCCAGGCAGTGGCTTCCTACATGGTCAGCCCCCAGTAAAAACCCTGGGCACCAAGTCTTTAACAGGCTTTGCTGGTAGACATTTCACATGTAGTCACAACCCGTTGTTGGGGGAATTAAGTGTGTCCTGTGTGACTCCACTGAGAGAGCACCTTGGAAGCCTGCACCTGGTCACCCCATGTGCCTCTCCCTTTGCTGATTTTGCTTTGTATTCTTTTACTGTGATAAATCACAGCCATGGGTATGATTATATTCTGAGTCCTGCCAGCAAATCATCAAACCTACGGGCGGTCTTGGAGTCCTCCCAGCACATTCCCCTTGCAGCTTACACACGAAATTCAATTCAGAGAAGCTAACAATCACTCCAAGTGACAAGTACACTATATGTACATGCAATACAGTGAAAGTCCAAATATCCTGTTACTTCTTCAGAGCTGTGTGGCACTTAACTAAACCCACCACACTTACTAGTATTGTGAGGAAAGCCTGCCCTCCTTATACTAAATATCCCGAGGAAAGAAAGAGACTGGTGAAAAATGAGCGCTTGGGTTTTAAATACCAAGAGACATGCCACACCAGGAAGGCACCATCTCAATTCATCTGAGATGATGAAGTCTACTTACCATCAGCCAGGCGTTCCCGCCAACTCTGAGCCGCATGGGTAAAAAACTCGTTATTTAGTGCACTGCTGCTGAGACGCAACAGGCCATCTGTCCCCACCTAGAAGGATCGAGGGGGGGAAAACCCCAATAAATGAACTTAAAACAGAATGCAGGCCCGCCCAGAAAGAGGCAAAAAGAAGGCTGCCTATGTGCACCTGTCTGTCCACTTCGGGCAGGAGGAAGAGGAGCTGCTGCTGGAAGTGTGACGGCAACGCATGGAAGGTCCGAGAGTTGATCAGGGCTCGGAGGTTGGTGTTGACAAGAATGGATCCAGGCGTCTCAAAATCTATCTCTTCACCTCTGTTGCGCTTCATCTGGCCTGTGATTTTTGAAGCAAGCAGCAGCAAGGTATAGATTTTCAGCTTTTTAAAGCAAAAAAATAAATCCAACTGATTGGAAAACTTTGGTGGCAGCACTCAAGATACCCAGAACTTATCTGCACACAATCTACTCAACCGTCCAGTCCATCCTAACCTGTATGTTATAACTGTTCTTTCCAGGTTACTGTCGTTGCCATCAAACCTAAGAGAACACTTGGGCTTGCACCCCTCAGACAACACTGTGTACCGTGCTATGTCTCGGCCTGAAGAGGACACTCTTCCCATGAAAAACCAGGCGGGGGCAGGTTCTGAGCTTCCCTCCGAAGCTGGAGAACAGGCTCCACAAAGCCCAACTGGAGGAATGATGGAAGTTTTCTAAAAGCAAATCTAGTTAGTACACTACAGAAAAATCTGCAAAAGTCTTCTGTGAGTGGGCTGGAGAGGTATGATCTCCACACAGAAATGAACTAAGGGTTGTTAAAAGCTAACTGAGACGTTAATACTCTCACAAAAGCCTAAGCAAACGTTATTTTATTTGAAAAATTCACTAAGAATAGAGACCTATGAGACCATGGATTAAACACTGCTGATGAGCTGGAAAAGCAATAAGACAGCAAACCTAGTCCCCACTTGGGCAATGGTTTATTCTAATTTTCAGAAGCAAAGGCTAGTCTTCTTACTGGTTTCATTTGGCCCATCTACAAAAAAACCTCAGCATGGGGGCCATAAGAAATAAATCCTGAAATAGCAAACAGCATACTAGCATTGCAAAAACCCTACTCAGGAGTGAGAGGAGCACAGCATAGCACTACTAAATTTGTTTGCGTCCCCCAAATTCGACATATGCTTCCATTCAACATATTGATAAAAAGGGAGAATCCAATAGAGACTACAGATGTTGAGAACAAACATGGCAGGAAGCTACCAAAGAAAGAAAATGGATGTTGGAATTCTTCACTGAGAAGCTTAGAAGCAATTTTCACTCACTCGAACACTCACTAAGCAGTATCAAGGTAGGCACAGGCTAGGACCTACAGGGACATACAAGGAGCAATGTGGCACCATCTCTGCCTGCAAGGAGTTCTCTCCCAGTCTAGCAAAGATCTACACATGAAATAACCAAATTACAAGGTAAAAATAAATAAAAAATAGAGGGCCACCCAGGAAGTAAAAATAAACTGGTAAAGGAACTGCAATAGAAGACATCATCTTCTCACTAGGCCTGCTGGGGCCCCCATTACAGGCAGAGAAACGAGTGCCAAGCCACTCACCTGTGGCTGGCTTCCGGAAGCCTCTCAGGAGCGGGGCAGGGTCCCGGGCGACCTCGGCCTGGCCACGAATAGCAGCGCTGCCCAGGGCCAGAGAGCCGCTGCTGCTGCTGGACGGGCTGCCGCTCTCGCCATCGGCGTGGCGGCCTGAGAACCCTGAAGGCACAGCATTCCACTGGTCAAAAGCATCACACGCCGCGCCCACGGCTCTCAGACAAGCTTACTTCTCCCAGCTCTCCCTGAGATGCTGCCAGCAATACCGGGGTGCTGCCATCTCCCAGCCTTGGGCTGACAGAAACCACCACCTCGTAGTCTGGCTTTAAAATATCACTTTAAGAATGCCAAACCACGGTCACCTTTATTTGTATAGCACTACACCTTTTACAAAGCACTGACACAATCATTCATTGGATGCTCACGACTGCCCTGGAAGGTGAAGAGGAGGGCACAGAGCTGAGCCCAGCACGAGAGCCTACGCAGGCCTCACCACCACGCCTGCTGCCTGCAGAGGGGTTGGGGTCTCCTGACTCTGGCCCAACGGCTCTACTGGCATCACACTAACAGGTTAGAAACTGTTGACAGAAGGCGGCCAGGTCCCCAGGACCTGAGGAAAAAGCATCACAATCGTGAGTTTACACATACCTGATGCAGATTCCACGTGGGCCCCGTTTACCTTCAGAGGAGTCAGGACAACTCGAGGCAGCATCACCCCAGTCTTTTTCTTCTGTTTGTTTGCCTGTGTTCCCAGAGGGAATAAAAAGAGAGCCCAAGTCACCTGCAGAGCCACAACAGCACTCCCTGTTGATCCTATCTCTACCAACTCTCTTGTAAAACAGAGTTCGTATTCAGCCAGGTCTGCCAGGTGATGCTGACAAGAGCACTGACTGCCAGTCACTGTGCCAAGGATCACCTCGAGCTAAAAAGACTGCATTATTATCCCCATTTTACAGGTCAGGAATTTGCCCAGAGTCTCACGTCTATCACTCAAACTGCTGACTTCAAGCCCATGTTCTCTGTAGTCTGCACTGTACTGCACTTCTCCCCAGATGTTCACATGTGTATTACAAGAATGAACAGAATCACCCAGCCATAGTAAGGAAAAAAAAAAAACGAATCACTCTGCTCTTAGACCTACAGCCCACTTTTAAATGGCACTAACAAGTGGAGACCAAACTTCTGTTCTCCACTCTTCAAACACATCCACAGCTAACTGCAGGAGGAGGAAGAATCCAGTCTTGTGCCTGCCATCATTCATCCTCCTGGCCTCATCTCCACCTTGCCTCCCTACCTGCGAGGAAGCTCTGTAGCTGTCCCTGGGATTGGAAAGAGGCCGGCTCTGAGATTCTGTAGAACAGGATGCATTCGAAGATGTTTCATCAAGAGATACTGGAGAGAGGCAAATAAAGGTTAGTTCCTAGCACCTGCTGTGGCTCCCTCGCCCACGCAGTCAAGGATCCTTACCATCGTTTTCACCACTCACAGTGCTGGCTTCATTAGACCCACAGCTCTCCACATCAGCTGTATCCTCTGGCTCCTCTCCCTCCGCTGCAGCTGGATTGCGAGACCACTGCAAGGCATCCTTCTGCAACAGCAAGGCACAACTCAGGTGAGCAAAACTCTACAAATCCTACAAGCATGGCGAGCATTCCTAAATTTGTATGCTTTGGAGAAGAGGGGTTTAGAATATTGATAAACTCCTATCCCTTTCTAACTGACCTCTTTCTTAATAAGTTCTTTTCATAAATATATCAGTAAGAAAGTTAGATATAATTTTGCATTTAATCAGTCATTAAACATTTATAGGGTGCTTCCTATAAGCTACATTGTGCTAGTTCTGAGGAGGGTGGGGTAGTAAGGAGTGGGAATCAGAGCCCTACCCTCAGAGAGCTCAACTGAGTAGGGAAAAAAATCAATTACAATACAAACAGCAACAGCGGTGAACACAGAGCTGTGGCGGCCCAGAAGAGGGGTACCTAACTCACTGAGTTGGCGGAAAGAGGGAATGGGTATAGAGTGTGAATAAGGATCAGGGAGGTAAGGCTTCCAAGAGGATGTGTTGCTTGAGTTCAGTTTTATTTTAAAGTTAGTTACTGAGCAGACGGGTCAGCAGTAAGGAAGCAGGAAGTTCTAGATAGTGAGATGAGCAAATGTGAAAGAACATTCCAAACTCAGGGAAATCATGATTTCAGTAGGGATGTGGGGAACTGGATAGGTAGGAGGCTATAGAGAACACAACAGGGCAGATGATAAGACACTGTGGGGAGGGATTAAGACTATGATTGTTCTGAAGTCTCTGAAGGATATTAATCAGGGGAATGATCTGAGTTTTAGGAATTTCATTCTGGCAACCACAAGAAGTCTGAAGGCAGGAAGAAGAGTTAGATCTTCAGTGAAAAATGCTGAAGATCTAACCAAACTTAAATTGTGGCAAGAAGGCTAGAGTATAGAGGAGAACTTCATCCCAAATTTCATCTCCTAACAAAAGCTTCTTTCAACAGGCTCGTTGTATTAATATACATAGTCTCAAAACTAAACTCCACCCATTCCCAAGGAGAAGCTGTCTCACACCTCAACACTAGAAAGAAGTATGAATGAATATTGGGGGCTGGAGAAAGGAAGAGAAAAGTTGGGGTGGAAGAAGGGAATGTCTTCTTTTAATAAAAATGTACCATAAATTTAAAAGGGGAACCCACACAATATAACTCAAATTTAATGGGTCCCTTGATCTACTACATTAAAGTTTCAATTTATTTTTATTAATTTTAGCCAAAATCATGCTGTCTTAAATTAATAAAAAAAAAAAAAAGAAAACAACTTTTTAGATCTTTATCTCTTTTCCCTACTGGTTGTCAAATGCAACCTCAGAATCAAAAGCTAAAGATTATTTTTATTATTAATCTTACAGATATGCTTATTGACTGCCACGTTCTTAGAATGAAACAAATTTAATCTCTGACGCTTATGGACAAACTAAAAAAATGCTCATTAATGAAATAAGGAAGTCTATTACACTGGCAAAGTTGACCCCAAATCTCCAGTTCTGGCAAGAGTGTGGGAAAGTCATACATTCACTGTTGGTGAAAGTAAAAATGGTATCAAAAGGTTCACGCACTGCCAGCAGGAGAGTAAATTGCTAGCAAAAACCTAAATATATATATACCTTTTAACCCGATACTTCTAAGACTTATATAGGACATGAAAAGCATTAACTCTGACAAAGGAGAAAATTAAACAATTAAACTATACTAAAATTAAGATCTTCTATTCATCAAAAGACACCATTAATGGAATGAAAAGATCAAGCTACCTACAGAGTTAGAGGAGATATTTGCAACCCTTATAACCCATGAAGAACCTGTATCTAGACTACATAAATCAATGACAAAAAGCAACTCAGAAGAAAAATAAAAGAGAAGATATATCTAAATGGCTAACAGACACATGAAAGGGTATCCTCGCTAACAATAAGGAAAATACAAAATAATGCAAATTAAAATCACAATGAGATACCACCACATCCACCAGAATGGCTAAAATTAAAGTTTGACGATACTAAGTAGTGTTAATAAGGATGTGGAACAGGTACACTGAAAACTGATCCAACCGTTTGGCAATACACGTTGGCATTATCTGGTACAGTAGAAGATGCAAACATCCCCATGCCCCAGCAATGTCACTCCTAGGTTTGAATTCCTTGGAGAAGTGCATGCATACACACATCGGGAGGCACAATCAGAATGTTCATGGATGCAGCGTCTGTAACCTGGACTGTAAACAACCAGTGTGGCCGTCAACAGTAGAATCAATAAATGGTAGTGTATTCAATAAAAGGATGATTATACAATAAAAAAATGAATGAAGATAGATGACTCTTAAAAACAAAATATCAAATGAAGGCCAGAAACAAAAGAATGTATGCTGTGATGGTTCCATTTATAGACAGTCCAAAAACAGGCAAAACTAAACTATAGTTGTTAGGGAACAAAACAGGTAGGAAACAAGAAAGAAAAGCATGAAAATAACTTTCATAAAGTCAGGACAGTAGTTACCTTTAGGGGGAAGAATGGGGCTGTGACTGGCAAGGAGCACGCAGTGGGCTCCTGGCTGTTGGCCATGTTCGGTGTCTTGACCTGAGTAGCAGTTACAAGGGTGTTCACTTTACAACAATTCATTAAACTGAACATTTGTGTCCTATGCATTTCACTGTATTATACTTTTATAACTTAAAACCTTTAAAAACAAAAAATAATTAAAGTTTTTCCATCAAGTAACACTACCATAGACAGCCATTTAAAATACAGCTGTAGAGTATTTAATGCCAGGAGAAATGTTGATGAAGCTAGTGAATTAAGTAGTTAAATTCATACAATGATTCCATCATCCTTTTCAAAAAACAAAAATCTGTGTAAATGTGTATGCATAGAAAAACATGAGTGAAATTCTCCTAAGCTGTTAGCCATCATCATCTCTAGGTGGTGGAGTTGTAAATGCTTTACTTTCTTTTTAATTATAGGTATTTTCTACAATTAACATGCATTTATTTTGTGATCAAGAGAATAACATTTAAAAAGAAAAATTAGTTGCTAAATGCTTTACCAACAGCTAAGTCAACATAAACCTAGTGCTGATTACAAATCCCATTAATTAAACGAACAGAAACAGGCCCTGCTTGTCTGCGATTCAAACTGCCGAGGAGTTTCTAAAACTATACATTTTCAGTAAAAAGCAAACAGGAAAATGAAACTTTTAAGAAAATAAAAGCAATTCTAATTCTGCAATTTGTAAGATCATTAACCTTTCCATATAAACTCAAGAAGTTTGATAACATTAATTTTTCATACATTAACTCTAGAAGTTTGACAAAAAGGAAATAGGTTACAGAAAACTATAGGTGCCAGAAAATATGCCCTAGGACTCAAGATTTTAATTTTTTTGTAAGACTATTTTTCATCAAGAAGCTTTAAAAAAATCAATGAGTAATGGGTGATCTTTTGCAGAATCCTAAATATTAAAAAATGCTGTAAAAGACTTCTTTTACTATTTTTTTGTTTTTCTTCAGCTTTATTAAGGTATATTAGACAAACAAAAATTGTATATATTCGAAGTGGACAATGTGATGATTTGATATATGTATTCCTTATGAAATAATTAATCAAATTAATTAACACATTCATCAACACACAATTACCATGGGGGGAGTGGTTTGAGGATCTACTCTCGGCAAATTTCAAAACATTATTGGGATATTTGAATGTGAACTGCATACTAAATGGTAGTGTCGGATTAACGTTAAATTTCCTGAGTGACAAGCCAGGTGCATCTGCCTGTAGTCCCTC